TAAATAGAAATAATAAATGATTAATATAATAAATTTTAATTTTTTTAATTTAATTTAATAATGAAGTAAATAAATTATTATACCATATTCTTTCACAACTTACCGCATGTGGACTTATTGAAAATAATTGAATTGCAAAATTTTGCAATTGATTTTTTGAAGAAAAACATATACTCCACCATTTTAATGAATTATCCTTTCTATAAAGATAAGGTATATTAAATGGTATTTCATTTAATTTATATCTTCTTAATTGACTAATTAGTTTACTACAATCTTTTTTTTATGTCCTATTATTTTATAAATATTATCAGCTTTTATTAAAATTTCTACTCGACTCGACTTGAAAAAAATGAGTTGAATCGAATTGATCCTTAAACTCGACTCTGGTATACGAATATCAGGAATATCCAATTCTATATTAATATAATTTATAAATTTTTTATTTTATTTATTAATTAATTAATTAATTTTTAATTAATAATACTTATTATTAACCTTTAAAATGTGGATGTAAAAAAAAATGCAATTAAATAAATATCATTATTAAAATCATTAAATTTAATTATATAAAATAAATATAATTATTATTATAAAGTATAAAATAACAATTGCTTAAAAAATTTACCTTTTATTGTATTTTTTTATATAATAATTTTTAAATATTTTATAATCGAAACTTGATAAATTTTGAAAAGAAATACTAATCCTTAATAATTCAATAAAGCAATCTGCTAAATTGGCATTTTTTCATTCTAAAAATAATATTGCTTGTTTGATTAAAAGTAATATATTAGTAAGTGCTTTAACATTGTTAAAAAATCCTCTTTTATTAATAATTGATTTTACAGCTTCACTTGTTATTTTTTCATGATGTTTTTCATAAATCTATTTAAAATTAAATATTAAAATATTTAAATTTTAATATTAAAAAATATTTATTTACTTCAATAAAACAATTTTTAAGTCGTAAAATTGATGCTGTACATTCAGCTACAGTAATCCATCTAGTCTTAACATATGTTTTAACTTCCCTTCTAAAATCTCATTTTTTAAAATTAACTTTTCAAGTAAATCACTGTATTAATGTGATTTTTTAAAATAACTGACTAAAATATTACAATATTTTATAATTTTTACTGCAAAATCATATTGTAAAATATCATGTGAAATAAGATTTATATAGTGTGCAATACATTGAACATTAAAATTTTAGGAAATTGTGTTGAAATTAATTGTCATGCTGATAAAACATTAGGCCCATTATCAATTACTATGGCATAAAATTTGTTAATATAAATCTTATTAAGAATTTTAAAAATCTCTTTTGCAATTAATTCTCTAGTATGTGATACTTCTGATAAATCTTTAATTTGAAATAAATATTCTTCTCGAGTTGGTGTAAGAATTACAAAATTCCATAAAGATTATCCTGTAAGTAATGTTCATCCATCTAGTGCTATAATTTAAATTATTAAAATTTCAGTTATTTGTTTATTATAAGTAAATTTTTCGATTTTCATATCAAAATTTGGTTTCACATAACCCGACCGCCCGGCTTTTTATTTTTAAAAGCAAAAAATTTTTTTAATTAAAAAATTTATTAGATATTTTTGTTATTTCACAATCCGATTACTCAGCTAAAATTTTTATATATAAAAAATTTTATATTGCACATTAATATAATAAACTTTTTCATCAAAAACAAAAATTAACTAATTGATATTGTCAGAATGGTTAAATGATCAATAGGCCGATATTTATTCCTTTTTTGATTGCACTTCCAAACAACTTTTTTTTCTAACTGCATTTTCGAGTAACCTTGCTTTTTAAAAGAAATCAAAATGTGTTAAAAATCTAATTACATATGTAAATCCATATAAGTTCTATAAAATTAAAATAAACTTCCCTTTTCTACTATATTTCTAAATGAATTTTCTTTCCCAAGTACAATTCTGAGTAACCTTTCTCTTTTAGATGAAATTAAAATATGTAAATTCGTATTCGCATATATAAGCTAACAAAAAAAGAGTAAAAATATGTTATAAAAATCCTTTGAATTCTTTAACAAGTCTTTTTTAAAACTTCAACAATAATGCCATTTGCAAATATTCAGATATCTAAAGGGTCAAAAACTCTTCATAGTTAGTATATTCACTCTATTCTATATGAAATGACAATAAAGGATTTTTTTGCTAAATTTGTAAATAAGAAAATATCTCCTAAATGCAATATTGTTATAACAAACTCTGAAACAATAGAATATGTTGAGTTAAGCGAATATTAGTTTCAGTTACAATTTGAGTTAGCCTTGATTGTAATATTATAGAACTTACAAAAAGTATAAGAATACATATGCATTATTGACTTAAAGTTGATGATGAAATTTTCGATTCAGCATTACAACAAAACAGCTTTACAATCCTAATGCAAAATGCATATCAAAATCGGTTATATTTGCCAACCTTTTCACAATTAGATAAGACAAATCATAAATTAACATTACGCAGTAATCTTGTTAATTGGATTCACAATCATAACGGAGGTTGGTCTACTCAATCATATGCTAATACACAAGGGAAGCAGTTTGTTGTTAGTTTAACTGAAGCAATTTGGTATATCAATATGCGAAATCATCAGAAACTTAAAGAATGTAGTTATCACATACCTGATCTTTTTCTTGAATTCTTTAGTCACGCTAATCCAGAATCATATAAACAATCACAGAAACCCTTCGATGCAAATGAATTTAATTTGCATTGTCAAACTCTTACTCCATATGCTACATCTACATAGATGTTAAGGTCAAATTTTGACTAGCTTTATGATGCATTTGATCGTCTTATTATTGCTATTTCAAATTATGTTAGATTTTTATGATATCAACGTGAAATAACAGCTATAAATCATACATCAGATACTCCTGTACGAATGATTGATCAAGCTACAACAGTAAAAATCCATAAGCAAAACTTTTGGGTTACATCTATTGATAAAATAAATATTACCATCTCATACAATTGCTTACTGATTTGCCATCATAGAAACCAATTGATATTGAAGAATACTTACCATCCGATCCTGTATAAGTAAATAGAAATGATATTTAAAATCATTAGTATAAATAACTAATGAAATAACTTGCATTATAGTCAAAGAATGCATTACATCCAGAACTTATCTTATGTATTTTCCTTCAAAATTGAAGAATATCGATTTAATTCTGGTAATAATGCTTTCAATGTGATATCAATATAGAAAATTAATGATCAAGCTGATGAAGTAACAATGCTATAAGAAAACCAAAGAATTGTTAATTCATGATTCGCCGATCACAGGATATTGATTATATATGCAGGTAATAATTAAAGCGAGAATAATTAATATATTTAAAAAATATACTTGTAATAATCTGACAACAATGTTATTAAGACATTGTAATAAACTGTTCAAAAGAATGTCCAGGAGGTGAAAACCTTCAGTAACATTGATTGCTACTGGCATAATTGTTCCTGACTTGCACTTTGGGTCTTTTTTAAGAAACTGGTGGCATGTTAGAACGTTGCAAGAGAATGGAACAAAAATTGAACAATACTACCCCTTTCGAGTTGGAATGAAAACACAAGTTTAGCTGAAAAACAGACTTTTTATTATTCGAGTTGTTCAAGGAAACAAACATAACAATCTATTGCCGGGATTTTTATGTGAATCTTTGTTAGAATCTAATGAAGAAGTTGAAAATGACCCTATAAGTGCTATATCAAAATTTATAATAAAATATTTTAAACTAAAACGCGTTTTTCTGGAGTATTGATGATGGGTATGGAAGACAATAATATTTTAGATGAACTTATGTTGGACTTATCCTTTCAACCTTTCATAATAAGTATACAATAACAAATCAAAAAAATCAATATAATGATACATTCAATTGGTATGCCAGCAAAACAAGGAGTCGGATGTAGATTTACTTCATCTTTTATCTATTCCAAATCTAAAGAATGTGCTTTATTTTTTCAAACTGTCAATGAAAATGGATGTTCCATTCGTATTTATAAAGAAAACCAATTGTCAGAAGAATTTCATGAGTTAGATTTTAATAGCGTGTGGAAAAAAATAGACATATTAAAAGAGTGGTCAGGAGTAACTTTATTTGGCTTAGATAATTCTAGTGTAAAAGAAAAACTAGAACAAGCAAGAAAGTTGTTATGTTTTCATAATGAATGGCACAATTATTCAAAAATGAAGCAATTATTCAAATATCATCTACGAAAAAGAACATACAGCCAAGTTAATTGGTATTTATTGTTTCAGAAATGAAAGGAAAATAATTGTCAAATAATTGAACTATATAGTCGGTTAGATTTATTATATCCAGATGATTATATTTTTTTCTGAAAGGGAAATTCGAGCATGGCATACAATGTTATGTGCTACCGGATATGTTAATATAACACCATTTGATAAAGAAAAATCAGAGGTGGGTTATTATTTTTGATTGAATCCATTGCTGAATTGCTTGTAGTGATAGATGTGGGGATGGATATGGTAATGGATGTTAGTGATGGTAGTATATAATCTGGTGGTGTAATTTTGTGATGATAAATTCACCTTTATTATAAATAAATAAAATAATAATTCAATTAAAAATTGCTTTACCAAATTTTATAGTATGAATTTTGGACTTGATCATCCAATCCTGAATCAGATAAAGCGATGATCAATATGTTTTACCAAAGTGGTTTTCTACGAATAATACCCAAGCAAACATTCAATACTACAGAAGTATTTTGGGAAAGTTTTAAACATGGTCTGAGTTTGAATAAACGTGATGCTAATGGAAAACAAAGAATACTTTTAATTATTGCAGATAAGTTCCCTTATAAAGAATTACAAACTAGACTTC